AGGACAACGATAACACAAGATAGCAGTATGTACTTTAAATGACTCCTGGTTGGGATGCTCTCCCACTTCGATGATCGAATTATATTCATCAGAGTTGCTAAAGAGTTTTATGAGGTCGTGAGATAGGCTTCCAAAGAAATTTAAAGTCATTTCCATTAGAATCAAAAAGTATTGTGTGCATATGTACAGCAATTTAGCTTTCTATAACACGAATCAAGTCGATCAAAATTCATTACGTAATCAAAAATCCGTAATCATGGTTACGTTTCTAAGTTATACTTTCGCCTAGTGAAAAATTAAGGGAAGACAAAACAGAAATGGCGGTATAGCACTGTCTGTGAAATATGAAGTAGGTGGAGAATTACATTATTAAATAATCGAGAAACTATGGATCAAAGTGTACCGTATGCCATGCAGATTTCGTGATGAAAACATTCATACAGAGGATTTGGCTCGAAGCATTCTGCGGCGAATGACTTTCTTACAAAGTTTTTTTTTTTTTTTTTTTCAATGACAATTAATCTTATAATCTGAGTGTACTTATTCCTTTGCATTGTAAATTAAAGCCGCTGGAGAGAAAGGTTAGAAATTCATTTAAACTTTATTACGCCAGAACTACTTAATAACACCTTTTGAACTTAAAAATAGAAAGATACTCATACAGTAAATCATTATCACCTCGTGGTTATTATAAGGCAAATATGGAAAACCCATTTTCTATTCTCGGATGCGAAAAAATATTGTAATATACTGTATATTAATATACTGTATGTATATGGAATCTACGTTAACAAGTTAAAAAAATTTTTGTATTCCTTCTTGTGGTCACTCGGCGAAATCCAAAACCCAAACTCTTTCTCGTTTGCTATTGAGCATGGTCTTGATAATCAAATTCTTGTTATCTTCAATCGAACGCTTTGAAATAATTTCGAAGGCAGTTGAATTCTTTTGCTCTTGCAAATAAATCGTTCCATCCGTAAAAAAAGTACTCAAGAAACTATGAGTATTTCTTTCTAATTCCTCAACTTGCTCTCTAACCAACATATCCAAAATCATGCCTTTAATTACGTTCTTGCTATCGGAAAAGATATTATTGGTAAATTCGAAAAAGGGAGTATCTAAAAAGTCATCGTCCCAAAAATAAGCGTCTGCAATTTTTTTTAAGGTTTTGCTGACCACCTCTTCCTTAATTTGTTGAAAGAGCATGTTACTGGCCTCGTTACAGACTATTTCGAATAAGATCTTGTCCTCCATAAAGTCTTTGAACCTCAAGGTTAATCCCACAGGAACATTAAAATTAAAATAGGAATTCTCTTCATCTAAAATCATAACTTTAATATTTTTTGTCGGAGGATCAAGATATAATGAAGTTTCCGATTCATTGGCTCCTGTATCAAAAAGTCTAACCATGTCGGTTATGATACTCTGAAGTTTTGTGGGAGGTATAAACTTTTTTCTTAGGCGCTTGCAAGTAATAAAACGAGTCATATTGAAAATTAAGAATTCGTCATCTAAGTAAGCTTCCGTTAGATTGGAAACATCTCGACAACCAGATGCATTAAGTTGCAACCAAGTATTGGTTTTCTGTGCCGTCAAATGTATTCTTTCCTGACTGTCGCCAATGAAACAAAAGGACTCGTTGCTAAATTGGAATTCCGGTTCATACAGATGACTAGCCTCGTTAATAATAACATATCCGGCGTCGCTTCTAGCCACATCGTCGACCTTGACAAATGGCGAGTTATTAAGGCGATCGTTCTTGTCATCGATCTCGTCATTAACAGTATCATTCCCCGAAGATGGTTTCAAGGTGTCTTTCATCACAAGGTTATTGATGCCAGTTATTATGTTGGCTTCATCTCTGGCGCTATTTCCCGAAATATCAGAAAGTGGAAGTGGCGCTTTATTGTTGGTCGTGCAATTAGATTCATGCTGAACTTGGACGTCGATGATTATATTTGGCGCATTGACTTTGGGATTACTCTCAATATGCTTGTTCATATTCATTTCCATAATATCGAGTGCGGAAAAAACTTGAATAATATCTGGACGCTTATTTGGATTTGCATCCCAACACTCTAAACAGTAAAAATTTTAATAAATGTGTTAACGATTTCTATCATTGTATTCTGTATATTGGTTATATAATCTCATCAAATAGAAGTCTTACATACGTGAATAAAGATTTACATATTCATCCGGTGTTCCTTCGACCTTGGTTTCTCTACCGCCACTAATTATGTGCCCGATAACCATCAGTTCTTTGTTTTCCTCAAGTTCCTTCTCAAAAGGCGGGCGCCCCGCAGAAATCTCCCAAAGCAAGACACCCAAACTGTAAATATCACACTTGTTGGTTTGATTGTAAGGTTGATTACGATGAAACGTAAGATTTTGGGGGTCTATATACGGTAGCACACCCCATACGTTCCTGTTATTGGATAATTCGGATAATCGTCTCGACAGTCCAAAGTCTGCAAGCTTAATTTTTCCTTGGTGTACTAAGATGTTCTTCGAATGCTTTCGGGAAAAAAAATCGACAAAATGAGACTTTATAATTTTAACAAGTAAATAACATTATCAAATAGAAACTTGACAGGTCTCTGTGGATAATTTCGCGATCATGTAGATACATTACAGCACTTGTTATTTGCTGGGCAAGCTTGAGTTTCTCGTTCCAATTAAGCGATTTCTCACGTAAATATCTACGAAGGGTGCCGTTATCTGCATATTCTATAATCAGGAAGAATTCCTCATCTTTTTTCGTGATGGGTGGATAGAATGCGAAATATGTGAGTAGATTTTACGATGAAATCAAATGCATCATGACACGGGCACCAAAGATTGTTACCTTTCCTGCAGAATCCATAAAATTTTAAAATATTATTATGAAAGTGAACATCTCGATGTAACTTGAACTATATAATATAAAAATGAAACTCATAAATAATTTATTAATGGATCATGTTGACCATAGAAATACTGTAAATGCCTGACTGACTTCGTTAATAAAAGCATTCATATCTTTTTCGTTGCCGATTCGGAGAGATTTCATTGCAAAAGTGTTTTTGTACTTATCGGTTACCCGATGTACAGTGCCAAAAGTACCTTTACCAAGCACTCCGGTTCTAGTAAATTGATCATACTCGAATTTATCGACTTTACAATCTCGAATTGATTTTTCAAGTTGATCGGACCAATAGTTTGTTGTTGCAAGATAATTATCGTCCATGTCATTATGCATTTTAAAAGAATGTGTCGAAAGTAAAAGAAAGTTGTATACACATTTTACCACACATTATCTATATTTAAATGTTTGCGCACGTATTATTGATACTCAAAGATCGGCTGCCTACGGTTCGATTTTTGCTTTTCCAGCCTGACACGTACCTGAGTTGTTTACGCCTGGTAGAAAACAAGTTACTACATTCAAATTAAGAAGTTTGTGATGTCCGATTTACCTTGTTGATCAATTTCTCAGGAAATCATTACTACTTTCTCTCCTATTATTTCTTTATAAGTTAAGTTCTAGCAAAAAAAACTACATGACGTATATGTTATTTCGTTGATGTTTTATTTTTAAATATATGTCTATTTAAATTGTTCTATTGAAAAACAATCGTTATTTGTAATAATAAGTCAATCAATCAATATACAGTAATTTTATTTCAACTTAATAAGACAATCAATCAATATAATTTTATTATAACGATTCGGTTAGTATTGAAATATATTAGCATCAATTATTATTTCTCTATCAAGTAATAAATAATAAGAGTAATCAAAAATCAAACCCTTCAAAAGATTTCTTTTGATAAAATCCGATTGATATCTTATCTTTTGTTGCATGATAAATTCATTAAAAATTTTTTTATTTATTTAAAATTCTTGGTTATATAAATTTAATTATATTTCAATTTTTTAATTATTTATTAAATCAAGTTATATCACGTATTTTTTTCTGAAAAATTTTCATTGTTCATTTTAATATTATTTTTAAAAAATCTTTTAAAAAATAATAAATATATACAGTATATATAATTTCTTATACTTTTAATTATGCTCTTATAAATAATATTTAAATACAATTTTTTAAAAGAATAATTTAAAAGGATGAACAAAAAATTATTAAAAAGAAATTAAAAAAAATTTTTTTTTTAATTGCTACTTAACAAGAAAATTTTAAAATATGTCAATTGTAGAAATTTTATATGCTTTTAAAAAATTATAAAATAATATATATTAAAAAACTTTTTGAAAAAAATGAATAATAAAATAGAATTATATTATAAATTATTTTTATTATAATCTTTGTATTATTACACTACTGATTATAAGTAACCAACCTGATATACAGTATATATATAATATATATATATATTTTTTAATAATATCCTCTCAAATTTTTAGCAATTTAAGAATAACACAAATTCTGATTACTTGTATATTTTCAAGTTTGTATAACTTCTAAATCTAACATTAGATAATTGATAAATATTACTCTAAAATTATAGCTCTTTCATTTCACAAGTATTACAAAATTATGTTTTTATATACTCAAAGATAAAAAATTTGAATTTTTAGAAATAGCAGTTTATATTAGCTACTCTAAATCTACAGTTATTCACTGGATTCAAAAATAACAAATTTTAAAA